AACTTTATGTTAGTTTATCCTTACCCTGGTGATAGTCTTTTTATCCCTCCCCCTTTTATGTTTTTTTTTTGCTTCATTGTATTTTACTCATCTTTGTTGCCATGCGAAATCCCTATATAAGTATTGTATTTTGTGCAGTATGCACCATGTTGAGATGCAGCGAAATCGTCCTGGACATAAATCGTGCAGTATCGCAATTTGGTCTTTTCTAAGGTTTTGTTCTCGGGAAAGGCTTGCTTCAAAACCGTAGAAGTTTTCTTTCTCATTTCGACATGCTGAAAGTTCTGATTTCAGATAACGGCTCACAGTTTACGACTTCATAATTGGGTGTGTTCTGTTCCTCACATAAAATCTGCTATTTTCCTACTACACTGTAGCATCCGCAATCGAACGCTTAAGTAGAATGCTTTAACGTTCTCGGATCAAGTCACAGGGGAACGCTAAACTACAACAGTCCATTGAAGCATTTCTCCTCACTAACAGTTCAACTCCCAACTCAGCCCCTCCAGAACAAAAGTCCCCAACTGAACTGTTTTTAGGCAAACTAATGCGGCTAGTTACCCATTCCATGATTCTGAGCGCGCAAGATATTGCAGAAACATAAAAAGTACCCAACGTCATATTGAGAAAGCTAAGAGATTATCTTTATGTACGTAAATCTAGAAATGGATTGATGAACTGAATTCCCGGAGAGATTATAAAGCAAAATGAATCAGTCGTATATAAAGTTCCAGTAAGACCTTTCGTATGGACTAGACATATCAACGACCTCAGATTTAGAACCGGGAGATAAGACTCAAAGAGTCGCTCCCCTGATTGCAGATCCATAGATTTAATGATGAACCACCGATTTACGATTTACGATTTACGAAGTCCGGCAGACTTTAGCACCGAAAGTAAAGCTTGACCAGTGACACTCAACTTGAGCTCGAGCTTTAATACACCAACGGATCATCAGCCTCAGGAATCAGACTTATGAGTTGTCAATGGTGTGCTCGATTTCATCTTTTGAAAGAAGGGCGGTATGTTGAGAGCTCAAATTATGCCACAGTTCACTGGATAGCACGTGGCTGGTAGGAGTCGCTATCAATCTTGCCGATATTGGCAGGCTTAGTGATTAGTAATCAGTGGTTCATCCGTTTACCCGGTTAGTCGTCTTGACCCAACTACAGTCAGCCCGCTCCCCCTTCAGTGACTTGTTTTCTTCACAACCCAGTGGCACACAGTTAAAATACTTGACGTGCCTGTCTTCCGAGATCTCGCGCGGACTGCGGATATGGACTGCACTTTAGGCTTCTTTAATTCCCGCTATTGATATTAAAACGTTCCACTGCATTCATTCACCCGCTTTGCGTATTTCTGTGTTGTCACCCACCTCCCGTTTTATTTGTTGTTATTAGAGTTAAATACTGTGTAGCTGCATGTCGGTTTGAAAAATTCATTTCTCACAACAGCAGTGTGCCCCATTTATACAGACTTAACTGTATCATCGGCAAACCTTTGATCACTTGCGAAAAAATCTGAAATTGTAGTTCATCAGAGGTTACTCATTAATTAAACACAAACCCGAAGCAAGGTGTTGCCGCTTTCATAACTAGGTTTCTCTGCAATTTCGCGTATCCTCGGCCCACTACATGCCCGTTTTCCTGTCATCCCATATTAGTTCTCTAGATTTCTGGAGCAGTATGCATCAGTCAGGCACAACTTTCTACCAACCACAGGGTAGCTGATATTTATTTTCACACTGTCGAACCATTTTCCTCGCTCTATTTTACGATGCTCTATTGTACTTACGTTTATGTGATTTTATGCTACGATAAATGACCCTGGTGTGCACGGAGCTGGACTTACACCTAGTGGGATGCACAAAACATTTATTGACTTGTGATGCTCACTCGACAGTATCCACAGCACACTGAACTGAAAGTGTTATCCTAAAATACTATAACAACAGTCAAATTATATCCCCTAAAAACATCTGATCATGGGCCCAAGTTTTCTTTCTGAAATGGTTTGTGACACTTTGTCATGACTACTTTAATTATATATAATGAATTCAGTCTTTCACAGGAAAATGCTTAAATACAGCTGTTTTGACGTGGTTCGATCTCATTAGCACGGCTCAAGTCCACAAACCCAACTGGGTATCCAACCCGGGACCTCAGAGGTAGAACGCAAGCATATATTGACCATTAAAATCTGAGTAATTACCTGAGTTTAAGCGAAGTTGTCATTCAATGAAATTTAAATAAGAAAAGACGCGCTGACCTTTACGCATTGATACTTGCGGTTCGTGGCTTTGAATATAACGGGTACTACTATTGAGTAGTACTGGTTGTTAAATGCATAGTTTATATTTTTCTAACTGAAAAAATAGGAGTGTCTTCATGTTTTAACGCATCGCATCCTTTTCAATCGTTCACATAAAACTTTTAAAAATATCGAGTACTTAACCCCCACAAATTTTACACTAAATTACGAACATAGACGCTTTATTTTCAACTAAGTCAAAAAACTCACGTGTTACTGGAAAATCCTTTGAAAAATCACTGTACTCTTTTCCATTGTAGGCACGAGCGGATAAGTAGCGAAATTTACAGTCTACGTTTGTCATTCGCGTTACCAACGTGGTCACAGATGCCTGGTTTTTCACATTTTCATGGAAATAAGTGATCACGTGATAGCTTTCAGCTCCCGGTACCTCGGTCAAATGCACCAGCAATTCCTTGTCTTTGTGATCACAGGTTGCAAAAATGATCTTGGGAGCCGGAATAATGTCTGGTTGAAATAAATGACGGTAAAATAGTAAAGGGAAATAAAAAACGGTAACTGTTTATTCAATGTTCTAGTCAATCTCGATCCCGTATTCAAATGAAAGTCGCATCGTGTTTCCCGTTGTGTCAGTTAATACGAATAGTTAGAGATTCGTCCTACCTTGTTTGGGACCGTATTTTATCAGGAGATGGTGAACTAAGGATATTCAGAAATCCTCTCAAGAATGACGTCCAATAAGGCTTTTGCATAGCTGTTATCCAAAATCTAGTAAGCTAGAGTCACCATTAAAATGCATCTCTTCAACGCACGGGTTCCTGTATTGTGCGCACGTGTCTGACAGTAACAGCTGCTTCAGTTGTTTACATTTGGGCGACCCTTTCCTACCGAGGAGGATAATCCATGTAGGTGAAGGAATCCATGAAGAAACTTGAGAAAAGTTTACAAAGTAACAACTCGATCTTTGGCCTCAAGGTTGGCCTTCCAGGTCTTCAACATTTAGATGCTGTCTCTGGGGCCAACTGGGATAGTTAAGATAGCCCTAGTTGGTGGCAATTGACGGCATCGTCACGCCCGGCAGTGTACAAGTCCGTCAAGCATAAGATTTAGGTAAACCTACCACGCCCACCAAGATTTCAACTCACCATTTCGGTATGCAATGAAGTTTATGCACTAGGTTTCCGTTCGAGGGTAGGAAATTTTGGTAATGAAGCTATGTAAAAAGTTTACATCTCACTATTATATTAACTTGATATAGGTGACTATGTTTTGAAGTCAAATATTATCAGTAGATCTCATAGGATTTCAAAAAATATAAAACTATCCCAAGACCAAAGTTACATGCATAAATCAGTTAACCCCAAAAATGCTCGACATTTGTTTATTTGCTGGTTGTCACCGTGGGGTTTGGAGTGGCTTGTGACAACAAGAGGATTTCTCTCCCTTTGTCAGAGAACATTGAATTAATTAATTAATTCACTTTTTCTGTGGTTTTTGTAAACCTGAACCTAAACCGATCAACCCCAGTTAGACATGAATTCTAGGAAACAGACTATGCATTTCTGATGATCCTTTATCGGGTCGTTAAAGAAGCGTACAAAATAGAATTGTCAGTGGTTAATTCGCTCAGTTCACATGGATTAATTAAACGCCGCTATCGCGTCCTACACAAGCACATTTTTGATAAAGGGTTATAAAGAAGCTCAGTTCGGCTGTCATCTTCCACTGGACAGTGAAGAGATTCGATTTGTCCCCGCCTGATTAACGTTGATTGGCTGTCAGGTCATGCCACAAGGTAGGTATAATCAACGTTCACGTGTCTGTCGGTTGATGGAGGTTTCGCGGAAGTACCAAGATTGGTGAACCTGGGCCGTTTACTGAGGATCCGAACGCATCTACGCGCGTCTAGCTTTAGTGACCGAGGTGCTAGGAGGTGGTTTCACATACATACACACAAATCATGCGTGCCTTG